CTTTTCCCCTTAAGGAGTGAGATGCTTTATAAAGCTTTGCCTTTTTTGAGCTGGAGGGCTTAATAATACTCCTGGAACATGAAAAATGTAATTGGAAGTTTGAGAAAGGTTTTGAAAAATCAGATTGATGACAAGTAGGGGAAAAACACAAAGGAAAAATGGAGAAAGCTGATAATAACCACAGAATGGAACAGAAAGTTATAAATAAATACCCTTGAACAATATTATAACAAAACCCAATATTAGTTAGAACTACCTAATTTCTGTTTTTAACAGGTCTTATTGGTAGAAGGAATCAAATGGTTCCTACTCTCAATAGATGGCGCTTATTTCACATTCCTCTTATTCTAGTAATTACATGAAAATCTATCTCACCTTGGGGAAAAATATTATGTCTTCCTTCTCACTTGGTTTTGATTCAAAGAATCCAAGCCAAGAAGGAGTTAACGAGACTTTTCTTCCTAAAACATAAAGTACCCTCAAGTCAGTAAGAGGAAAAAAAGATAACTCGCTTGTTGGGTTTTATGAAGAACATGGTCCCATTTCTTAATGTCCCAATTTTTAAATTTCAAGTGTTTTGTTTTATCCATTAGACATAGAATAAAGAAAAAATCATGCCTTTTGCCTTAGTGAAAGTATATACATAAGAATTATTTTTCCATTTAGAATTTCCACCTTTGTGGATGCCCAAACCTACTCCTGTTGAGTTTATTCTGATCCATAGTGACCATATTAGCCAGACTAAAACTTCCCCCTATGGTTTCCAAGTCTATAAATCTCATTGAAGCAGACTGTCACCATCATTCTCCTGCAGTACAGGCCAGTTCTTTAAACACTGCACCATCAGGGTTCCTACCATTCCTTACTACATGCCAAATTAATGCAAGCAAAAACATTCATATTGCATTGCCTGTGTACTAAGCCTGATTCTAAATGTTGTAAGTATACTAATCAATTTTCCAAATATCCTGTGAAGGTACTGAACCACTAATTCATAATATCACCTTGAACAAATCACTCAACTATTTTGACATTCCGTTCTCCCCTCTGTAAAAATGAATAGTTTTGACAAAAACAAAGGAAGCTAGTGGATTTTACTCAGTGTTCCAGATCTCACCCCCTGGTCATAGCTGCTTGAAGAGCTGTGCTGATTTGAAGGCCAACTGAAAACTCATTAGTAATGGGGACAATGATCTAGAAATGAGGACAACAATCAATTCATGATGTCTACCAAGGGAGGCCAGGGAATGAGGAAGTATACGACATGTGCTGTGTATTTGCTGCCTATAAAACCACATGAGCCCCAAAGCCATTTTTAGTGCTAGCATTCTGTGTCTCCAAAAACCTGATTTATTCTTACTAATCATCATATGCAGGCACTAAGCACTAAATTTTGAACATTAAATGTACTGCCACTACTTCCCTTCTTTCTTTTCTAGCTTCCAAGAGTCCCTAAAGAACAACTTGTTTTATTAAGACATATTGGGATCTCAATGACTCGCTTCCAGATTAAACACACAGTATTTGCATGGAGACACTACTAAGTCTTCTACTAAGTCTCTCAGAGCTGCAAAAGTCCACAAGAGTACTGGGCTGCTCTTCCACATTCAGCCAGGCTTCTGCTAGAATAAGACCAAGAAATAGTCTGTACCTTCATGTCAGCTGTTGTTTCTAAGTGCCAACACCTCCTGAGTAAAAAACAGAAAAACTATGAAGGTTGACTATTTTATGGAGATAATAAAACCACATTTACAAAAGGAGTTGGTGTCTACAGATGGACCACTTTATGGCCTCTCAGTGACTGACCTAGGTCGGTCTCTTAGCTCTGTCTCCTAAAACCTATAGAGAATTCTACACCTCCTACCCTTTTAAGACTGCAATGTATTTGACAGAGTCTAATAATACACAGTCTTAAATCCTGACTCTACTGTTTAGTAGCTGGGAAAATGGATTGGCCTCATTAAGATCTCAGAGCTCCAGCTTCTTTATCTGTAAAATGGAAATCGTCAGAGTTCCTACCTTCAAAAGACATGGGGATGAGAAACAGAAGCTAATGGATAACATGCCATATAGATGTGAATTTATCTTCCTTTTTCTGAGAGGGACTTTTTTTTTATTGCCTCATTCCCATTACTCATAGAGCTTTTTATTCTTAAACATTAAGGTGGAAATCAATTTAAGCTCTTGAATTTACAGCTATTGTTAATACCAATCTCTATAGCCTTCTGAAGGCTTCCTTGGTATCACACAGTGCCTGATTGTTAAAGACTCTCTAGAATTGAGATGAGCCTTGACATGGGGGTGCTGCAGCTGTTATCTGCCAATGCTGCTGCTAAAAACAAGAATCTGTACCTTTTAAAGTTGGATAATAAACAAGAAATAAGTGGATACGCAAACAGGTGTAGAATCCTCTAGCAAAAATAATCAAAGCTTTGCTGCTTTGCCCTAGTTTTCAGAACCATAAATTATATACCAAGTGTCATATCAAGAATCTGCTTTCATACATACTATCCTCTCAGAGTGATTTGCAAAGCCACTGGGAAGAGGTGCCTGTGGAAGAATGGCATGTTATATTTGTTTACAGGAAACCATGCTTCCCAAAGTGAAATGACTAAATTCACAAAAAGAAAAAAAAATCAAGAATCTAAGTTTGGCCTGATTGCTCTTGCTGTTTCCCACTATTGAAGTCAGAGCAAGATTTCATTGGCATCTGTACATTAATCATTGGCTGGGACCCAAGAATAGAATGATACAGGAAACTTGGTTCTTGCCTTTATGGAACTCCCAGTAAAGAGAGGAGATTTTAAACCTCGCTTGACATTTAAAACTTCACTCTCCTTTGAGGATTCTCCTCTAATCATACTGAGAAGATTTCCCTATAAAATTACAGTTCAACATCATAATGATAAATTCTGTCATACCCAAAACTGTACTTATTCCACACCAGTTTTAATACTTATTTCATTAATTCGTATCATTTCTATTTGTGTCAGGATTTAGTTGTAACTGAGGCTTAGTCAGTCAACCACCTTCATTGGTACAGGAGATAAGCTCGATTTTGTAAATTTTTTGGTAATTGAATTGTTTAAGAGAATATACTTTCCTGCCTGGGCACAAATCCAAACCCCTGCCCAAATGTGGAGAAGTCCTCTGAACACTTCATGAGTAGATAACACTACAGAGGAGCCTCATGGTCCAACTTTGTGCCTTTAGGAAGCATCTTGGCCCAGGAATGGCATTCTGGAACCTGGCCCTGCTGGAGGGTGAGGTAAGATGTGACTTAAGCCTGGACCATTTCTCATATATGAAAAAGTTAAGAAGCCCCTACCTCTAGTCCCCCACCCCAGCTATCCAGTCTCCAGGGAAGGTATTTGTATTCCACAGATTTACTTAACTTTCCAAAGTCAGCTGTCATTGTTAAACTCATAAAGTTCACAAATTTTCCTAATGCCTTGAGAGTTAAAAGAGTAGCACTTGGCACTAATGAACTGTCAGTGTGTTTCCTGAGCAGTGAAGATATAAAGCAATGAAGGCAATTGCCCTTTGAATTCAGGACAAAGTACCTCATCTTATCCTTTCTCTGAAGAGATCAGCAATTATGAACTATTTCCCCACCAATGGGTAGTCCACCATAGACCTAATGCCAAGAGCACACCATCTGGGTTTGCTGCTAAAAAAGCTGGCTTCATGGCCATCAGTTGGATAAACTAGAATTATTGGAAAATCCAGTTACCTAAAGCCAGTTTGAACTCTAGTGACAAAGTATTATGTGTGTTGGAATGATAACCAAAGAAAGGTCAGTGGTTTGAGTCTACCTGCCACTCCATGGAAGAAAAATGGACAGTCTCAAATCAATGGATAGCCTCAAATCAGGGTGCGGGAGGTTCACCATGAGCTGGAAATCTGCTGAATGGCAGAGAATTTGCTTTGCATTTTGTTTTGCTTTGTGATTGTGCAGTGTTTAAGTACTCAACTGCTAACACATAGGTCAGTGGTTGGAAACCATCTAAAAGATAAGATTGTCTGCTTCCATAAAGACATACAGCCCTAGAAATCCAGTGAAGCAATTCTACATTATCCTAATAGGGTCACTATGAGTTGGAATAAAATCAAAGAAAATGAATTGAAGCCAATTTGCTTTCCATGATTATTTGTTGACTTGAACCCTTAATTGGAAGAACTGATAATTTTTACCATGTTTTTTTTATTTTATTATTTTTGTGTGCGTGTACCGTCAAATTAGATCTGACTGGTACAGGAGGAGATTGTCCCTCCTTACCCAGCAGAGCATCTGGTGGATTTGAACCATTCACCTCTGGGATTGTAGTTGCAGCTCCTTGCCACTAGGCCACCAGAGCTTCCCTAATTTTTACCATATTTTTTTAAAACTAAATTTTAAGGCATGTTTTAGCAGTAATTATAATCAATGATTTAGAACACTCCTCAATTTTTATTTCACCCACAAGATATTTTCCCCCATAAGACAATATAGTGTTAAGGTAAAATCCTTCGCTATCCTATATTGCATTTTGTTGTGAGTTTTTTTAATCATAAATGAAACCAGTAGGTAGATACTTCCTTTTGAACGATATGATTCTTCGGTAAATCAAATAATAGATGACATAAAAGGTACAGAAATTCTAGTTGAATGAGCCCCTTCTTTGAATAAAATGTTTCATCCTTTAGCAAGTAATCCTTGCTGTAGAGGCCATCATGCTCAATTTCCTGAGGTCGGACAGAGAGTAGTCTTACCGAACTGCAGACAGTTGACTGCCAGTCATCGTATAAAGTTATGACTATGGGATGTGACTAGAAAAACAATTTAGTCACTGAAATACTGCTGAAGAGTTAAAAGGATTTTTTTTTAAATGAGTCAAGAAGAGAGAGCAAGGGAAATTAACCCTGAACTGTGTGTGTTTCCTGGTTTCAGAACAGGGCTTCTAAATGTTACAAATGACTGGTGGTTACTGCACTGTAATTTTCCTTTCTTCTCTTCTCAGGGGGACAAGAAGACCTCATTCTTTCCTATGAGCCTGTCACAAGGCAGGAAAGTAAGTTTCCCAGCATGCTTTGACTTCTGATTTCCAGATTGTAATAGGTGACACAATTTATAGAGTGAGAAATTCTCTAGATGAGTGTTCCTCTAGGAAAGAGACCATCACAATAACCTCGAGAGGCCTGCCTCCAGAACCTTTATATCCACTCGGTATTTAGAAGGAATTTTGAGCAGACTTATCCTAGAATGCAAACTATACACCAGAAGCCTGAGTCCCTTTCCCTTTATAGAAATTAATTTATAGAGAGATTAATGACTATTGACAGGGATATAGCAGAATAAATGACATCAGTTATGTAGTTGCACGAAAGTAACTTCAGAATTTCTTGTAATCCCTTGATACAAAGGAAATGGGGAAAACCCAAAGAGAACATCGTGAGTATTTGAGCTGAAAAAAAGGAATCCTTAAAACAAAATGTCATTAAAACTAATAATCACTTTTATAGTCATTGTCTAAACAACGGCCAAACAGCTGGTTTAAATTCTTTTTCTCTCCCTCAGTTGACAAATTCAGTAGTTGTTTTGACATTGTTGGGGCATAGCCTAAGAGTGAGCAAAACCCCTCCAGATGCCTCTTGTTGTTGACAGACACTGCAGTTGTTTATCTCTGTTAGTAAATTCAAGAAAGTGGGCACTATCTGACACATTGAGAGTTAAGATATCAATATCTCCCTGTAAAACTATATAGATCGTTTCCTCAATAAAGTGATATCCTCAGAAGAATCACATTTGCAGGACAGCTTTGCAGTTGTTTGTTTCAATGTCTCTCTTTTCACCTGGATCTCCCTTCCTTGTCTCTGCAGTAAACTATACAAGGCCTGTGATTATCCTGGGCCCAATGAAGGATCGGATCAATGATGACTTAATATCTGAATTCCCTGACAAATTTGGCTCCTGTGTACCTCGTAAGTACTTCTCTTCCCTTAAGAGACAGAAAAAAAAGAAAAAAAATCCACTGCTTTCTGTTATGATAGAATTATGTAACTTCTGTAGATTCTCCAGTGACACAAATACCATCTTGTGTATTACCTTTATTTCTTTTACTTGCCTAATACTTTTCATTTATGCTACCATGTACTTTTCTCTAGTGAGTGTGTGATGTTCTCTCCAGCTCAATTGTAGTCACCTAGACAAAAGAATGGGTCTTTTTCCTTTATAGCCCTCTCAGCATCTAAAACCTTATAGACTTTATAGTGGACATCATCATGCTCTGATAGATTGACTGAAAAGCCCTTGCAATAGCATCCTCCATAGAACAAAAAGAATCTAAAACAAACACATGTATTAAAGTCATCTTATGATGATAAAGGACTATGTGTCAATCCAAATCAAATAGCCTTCACCTATCTTTTAACAGTCCCAGTTTAGCAGAAAAATGAAGACAAGAATGTTTATCAGTCTGTTCTCTAGGACCCTGGTGATTTTAATCTGTCCTTTTGGTCATTATAGAAAACCATCTCATTTCCTGAGTAGGACTGTAAGATTTTATTTACTCTACCGCTTGTCCTCCACTGTAATTATCCCCACCCCCCTTTTCACCCCCAGAATATGTCACACAGAAATTCATGGAGGCCCTTCTATATGTTTGATCAAGCCTTCTAAAATGCTCACTTATTAGATAAATGAGCTCTTAAATCTAATTTCAACAAAGTGTGTCTCTCATACTCTACACATTTCGTAAGCTTTATGCTTTGAAATGTCTCTCACATGTTAGTTAGGCAAGTACCACCTGGATTCCTTAAGGGGTTACCTGTGTTCAGAACATGAACAAAAGGGAACTGGGATGATTGCTTTATCTCAGGGAGCTGCTCCCAGTGAAGGCTTTGGGAGTAGTAGTACATGTTGTAGAACAGAGGTCTTTAGATAGGAACAAACACAAAAAACCCTGGTCATTTGTAGCACTTTGTTCTTCTACTCTTGATAGAAAATAAGTAGGCAATTCTTCAGCATCCTTTTCATTTTCCCTTGTACCTTGAATACCCTTTTCTTTTTTAAAAATTAATGCTGCTCTTAGATGTACTGTTGATACAATTCCAGTGCATAATGACCTCGTGTACAGCAGAACCGAATCCTGTGCCACCCTCACAATCTCTGCTGTGCTTCAGTCCATTGGTACCGTCACTGCCAGTCTGATCAGCACATGCCTCTTGTAAAAAGCTTGCAAAATACTAAAACTTAAACAGAGACATTTTTAAAAATCCCAAATCACATAGAGTACCAAGAGATATCACTGTTAATATTTTAATAGATTTCTATCTACTCTTTCTTTCTTTGCATGCATTTTTTTGTGATTGGGCATGTATGTTAAGTACAATATTAAATGTATATAACTTGAAAATTTTTTTACTTACCATTAAGTCTATAAACACTACAATAACTAACATTCATGTATTGTCATTCTGAGCTTTCTCTATTATAAATTACAATCATGTATTTTTAAATATATTTTATAATTACTGTTCTATACAGCATCTAAATTAATATAATGAGACAGAGCTTCACTCATATTTTACTAACTTTTAAGGTAGACTCACTGAAAGAGAATAGCTGGTGAAAGATTGGAAATATTTTCATTTTTTATTTTAGATTGTTTTTCCCTTCTTAATAAGTTTAGGTGTAATTCAGATTAGAATTGATGGTTTTTAACACCACCTTAACTAGGATGATCTCATTTTAAACATTTCTGTATCCTTAACTGTAGTCATAATGTCTGTATTTTTCCTTCCTGGTTATGAGACATAGTTTTTACTTCTTGTCCCATAATTTTTCATTGTTTGTTATGTTCTTTATGTTCTTTAGCACTAGTCTTGTTCATTTCCTTTATAAAAAAAAAAAAAAAGGAGATTTTGTTCTTTAAGGAAATAACTTTCTAATACACTTGTTTTAATTATAATGTGTTTGGGGTTTGTTTCCCTTAATTAAGATGAGTCTAGAGTTACACTACTCTCAAGATGTGACCTTTCTAAGATCTCAGCCAAATGCCCAATTTTAACAAATCAAATCCCCCATGTCTCCTAGCATTGTGTAACTTGCAATGTTTCCTCTTAGAAATATTCCCTAAACAGAGAGGCAAGATGATTATAGAGCTCTGGTAGCATGTTTTGTGGTTTTCTTCCTTCAAGGATCAGAGCCCTCTACTGCCTGCTACTCAATGCCTGGAACAGTTGTTCCATATATATAGTCCAGATTTATAAGTTGTTTATAGTGAAATTATAAGACTTGTCCTATTACTATCATCATAAGACCAGAGTTTCTTAATATTTTGAAGGTGTGGTAGAAAAAGAGAGATGCAAAGAAAGTGAGAAATATGAACTTAGGCATATCTTAATATCATTCTTTTCTATTTTATAAAGATACTACGAGGCCAAAACGGGACTATGAAGTGGATGGCAGAGACTATCACTTTGTCATTTCTAGAGAACAAATGGAGAAAGATATCCAAGAGCACAAGTTTATAGAAGCCGGCCAGTACAATGACAACTTATATGGAACCAGTGTGCAGTCTGTGAGATTTGTAGCAGAAAGGGTATGTTTGCTAATCTTCTTCTACTCCCCTAAAAGTACCCCAAGGTGGTGATTTGGTTCATCATTCTTTTCTAACAGCCACAGTAAATTTTTATTAAATATTCCCTTTAAGACAACCAAGCAAAGAATAACTTTAGGGCAAGGTCTTTAATCATTGTTCTAATCTCAATAGAGTATGCTGGCTGAGTTGGGGGAAGAAAAGCAATTAACAAGGCAATTAACAGCTTGAAGTTTATGAGGATTTACTTTGTCCTTGATTTGACTACCTGAGGCGTGAGTAAACAGCACTAAGTTTATTAAAGAAGCTTCGTTCTTATTTAAATCCAGATCCTTAAATCCTTCTGTTAGAAGTTACTTTTTTCTGAGATCCTTGTACAGAAAAATGAGATACATGGGGAAGCCTTTCCAGTCTGTTGGCATAAATTCTAAACTAAAGGAAAATTAAATGCTTTCATTCTCTCTTTAATATGGATTCCATCTCAACTCAAGTAAACAAAATTCCTCATCAAGTAAACTAGACGAATAGCAACATCATGACATGTGGAGAAAAGATTGAAGTTATCAACAATTCTCTTTTACTTGGATCCATAATCAACACCCATGGTGGCAGCAGTCAAGAAATCAAAAGACATGTCATAGTGGGGAAATGTACCAAGAACATCCTCAAAGTGCTAATGACTGAAGATAACAGTTTCAAGACGAAGTGAATTTGATCCGAGCCACAGTAGTTTCAATTGCTGCATATGTATCTTAAAGTTGATCAAAGAATAAGGAAGACTGAAGAACCACCAATGCCTTTGAATTATGGTATTGGCAAAGAGCATAGAATACTCCTTGAAATAAAAAAAAATAAAAATAAATTACTCTGTCTTATGATCCTTTGAGGCAAAGACAGTAAAACTTCATCTTTCATACATTAGGCATGTTGTTAAAAGTAGTCAATCCTTGAAAATAGGCATAATGCTGGCAAGAGTAGAGGGTTAGTGAAAGACAGACAGATCCTTAGTCAAATAGATTGGCACTGTGACTGTAATGGTGGTCTTGAGCATAGTGAAGTTGGAGAAGATGATGCAAGATCAAGCTAAGTCCTACTCTTTTGTTCATACTCTCACAATGAGTCATAGTAAACTCAACAGCGACTAATAATAACAACAATAATTTCTAGAATGTGGCAAAGAGCTTGTTTGTAGGAAACATTGTGAGGACAGCCATATCTGACCTTTACAAATTTCACAAAGGGAAACAACACAACACAAAACCAATTTGCATGATGCCAGGTATGTCCTGCCCACTCATGCACCCCTTTATACTCATCTCAACACCAATTTTACTGTTTTACTGGGTCCAAAACTACAATGTGATAGTTCAAAGACCACACAGAACTATCTTAGGGTAGTTCAAAGGCTATAATTTAGATTGGCAGCAATATGCACTTTGTCAGGACAGCTTCCAAAACATGCTTGTAGACACCTCAGGCTTGAGCCTCATGGTTTTGGGCCAGTGTCACAAAGCTCTTGCTGTTGTTGAGTACCACTGTGTTGAGTATGACACATAGTAACTCTATGAACAACAGATTTGAACTCTGTCCAATCCTGTGTCACCTTCACACTTCCTGATGCACTAGAGGCCATTGCAACAGTCAGTTTGACATCACCTGGTTAAGGGTCTTCCTCTCCTTCACCAACTCTCTGCCTTTCTGAGCATTGTGGCCCTTTCCTATGGAAAGCCCCTCCTAACAACCTGCCCAAAGAATGTGAAGCGAAGCTTTATTATCTTTGCCTCCAAGGAGTACTCTGGCTGTACCTTCTCCAAGATATATTTGTTTCTTCTTTTGGCCTTCCATGAGATGTTCAGTACTCTTCACCAACACTTCATCTCAAAGGCATCAATTCTTCTTCTGTCATCCTTATTCATAATCTAGCTTTCCAATGCATAGCAAGTGATTGGATCAGACACATCTTCAAATTGACATCATGACTCCTCAATAATTTGGAGAGGTCCCTAACTGCAGACTTTCCCAGTGCAATATATCTCCTGATTTCCTTACTGCTGCTACCAAGGGTGTTAAATGTGGGTCCAAGTAAGATGAAATTGTTGACAGTTTAAATCTTTTCTCCATGTATCATGATGTTGCCTATCAGTCCAGAGTAAGAATATTTGTTTTCTTGACATTGAGATGCAGTCCATATTGAAGGCTGTATTCTTTGCTCTTCTGCAACAGTCTTCAAGTCCTCACTTTTCAGCAAGCAAGTTTGTGTCATCCACATAAAATAGGTTATTGATGAGTCTTCCTCCAATCTTGATTCCATATTCTTCTTCACAGAGTCCAGCTTCTTGAATAATTTTCTCTTAGCCCTTCCAGTTATGGCTCTCCTCCTCAGTCCTCCAGTAAACGTGGGCCAAAGACTCTTAGCCCTGGTTCAATGTCATAGAAGTCCCAAGGTCTTCTCTGTCTAACATCAAATCTTTGGTTCTCCAGTGTAGCTGGTATCGCTGGTGCTCCCAAAGGCCCTGGTCTGACTGGCACAAGAATCTTCTCACATTCTGCTTCTGGATCTGCTCAATTTAATAGTGAGGCTAGCCCCTCCCCTTGTGAATTGGTGAGACTAGCTAATCCCTTTGTGGATAGGAAAACACACGCTATTAGCATATACCTGTTCATCCACATGGCAAAGTTAGTCAATGGTAGGGAAGCCATTTTGAACAATAAACCCGTAATACCATACTTGATTATGGCTTTAAGATCTACCAATGGAGAGATCATGGGTATTTAAGTGGTACAAATGGTTTAAACTTAACTACTAAGTTCAGGTTTCCTTCGGTCTATTGTTCATAGGGTCACTATGAGTCGTACTTGACTCAATGGCACCTAAAAACAACAATAAACTTCAAAGTTGGTAGTTTGAATCTATCCAACAGCACTGTAGAAGAAATACCTAATAATCTGCTTCTGTAAAGCTTTTTAAAAAACAAATTCTCATTGCCATCAAGCCAAAATCAACTCATAACTGACCCTCCATTGGTTTCTGAGGCTGTCAATTACATTGAAGACTGTCTGTCTATATCCTTTGGAGTCACTAGAGGATTTGAACCACCAGAGAAACCTTTGAGATAGCAACACTATTCCCTAGAGACTAGGCCACCAGAGCTCCCTTCTGTTAAAATTACAGCCAAGCAAATCCTGTGAAGTTGTTCTCCTCTATACTATAACACATGGTGTTTGTGAGGTTTCCATAAGTCAGAACTGACTCACTAGCCATGTGTACAGAGATATCCTAATCTCCTGGGAACAAAAAGAATAAGTTTTATAGCAGAAAGAGAAAGAGTCACTAGCCAACCTTACTTGTTACATAATTAGTATTTGCTGTGTTTATTTTGTTTAACTCAACCTTCTCTTCCTCCCTCCCCTTCTTATGCACTGCTGAAAATTTAGAGGATATTTAAAATCTGTCCAGTACTCCACAAAGAAGTTACATCTGGTTTCCTATCTCTCAAAGTTAAAACCCATCAACTGTGTATTGTTTCTAGTGAGAGCTTCTTTTTTGAACCTGTACATACAAACTTCTGGCTAGTTAATCTGGCTAGTTAAATAATAGATCCCAAGTTTACCTGATAATAAAGTGATAAAAGCTTGAAGTATCTTTTTTTAAAAAAAAAAAAAGTTTATTAGTTTTGTGCATGTACCGTCAAATCAGATCTGACTGGTACAGGAGGATATTGCACCTCCTTCTCTGGCAGAGCATCTGGTGGATTCGAACCGTGTTTCTCTGGGATTGCAGTGCAGCTTCTTGCCACTAGGCCACCAGAAGCTTGAAGTATCTTGTGTTTCTCTCTTAGAGTTTAGGAATTTTCTGGACTCTTAATTTTCATGTGACTATTTTAGACAACTTTTTATTCCCTGTTACTGATTTCGGACTGTTCCATCTGCATAATATGCTTTCTCCTCTACTTGTGTAAAGTCCTTCAAGCCTCAGGGTAATAAGGTCATTTCTCTCCAGGTGGTAGAATATGATTTGGCAAATGTATCTCTCTACTTTTCCAGAAACATTTTTTAAAGCAGCTCCTTGCTCTAAGCATGCATATGCATGAGGTGGAAGCCAAATTAAATGAGGTATGCTATAGTGTAATAGGACTTTATTTGTTAACAAACAAGAAATTACATGTTCTGTATTTGCCTCTCTCATAGCATTTAACTATATTATATTTCAAGTATTTTTTTATGCATCTTTCATCCTGCAAGCTCAGCATATTGAGAGCTGGACATAAAATAAGTACTTAGTTTTTGTCATATATGAGCTTCATGAGAATGAGTTTGGTTAAATTGCTTATGGCTACGTGTCTTCTTTCTGTAATCCATAAAGAATTTACTTAACTAATAAAACCACAGATGTTAAAACTAAGTTAAGTAATTCACTCTCACTGCTACTACTCATTGCCATAACTTGCTCTCATTACACCTTTGAGTCAGAACCAACTCAGAGTAGAGCCTCCAGCAAGTTTCAGGGAGGATTTAAATCATATGGGAGGAGATTGTTCATCCTTCTTCTGAGGAGCTATTGGTGGGTTCAGACCACCAGAGAAATGCCACCTCTGGGTTAGTAGCACAGCTCCCGTGGACTCCAACACCAGAGCTCTGCTAATAAACCACCAGAGAAATGCCACCTCTGGGTTAGTAGCACAGCTCCCGTGGACTCCAACACCAGAGCTCTGCTAATAAACCACATGGCAAAATATTTAGCACAATGGTACATATTTATTGTTTTTCAGAGCCACCGAGTCGATTACAACTCATAGTAATCCCATCAGCAACAAACCTGCATCTCACCCTAGTCACCATGTCAATCCATTTCAATGGGGGGTCTTCCTCTCCTTCTCTGACTCTCCAACCTTCCAAGTATGATGTACTTTTCCAAGGAATAGCTTCTCCTAACAACATGTCCAAAGTATGAGAGATGGAGCCTTATCATCCTTGCCTCCAATGAGCACTCAGGCTGTACCTTTTCCAAGTGCCCGGTGGGCATGCTGCAGGAGACCTCCTAGAACAAGATAGATTAGAAAGCAGGACTGACTGGCCATCCACTTCTGGAACAACAACCTTTGAAAACTTTATGGTACACACTTAAGTCATCATGCTAGATGTTGCAAGTATTCCCTGTCAGCTTTGGATATCAACTTTTATTTATGCCTTCTCATGATTCTTTTGGAATCTTTAGAAAGCCAACTTTTCTCCTGAAATATCTATAATATGGGTTTTTTTAGACTATGATCCATTCTTCTGTATTAATTCTTTTTTCCCTCTTTTTCTTCCAGGGCAAACACTGTATACTTGACGTATCAGGAAATGCTATCAAGCGGTTACAAGTCGCCCAGCTCTATCCCATTGCCATTTTCATTAAGCCCAAGTCTCTGGAACCCCTGATGTAAGTCCCAGGCTCTGCAGGCTTCTAACACCCTCTCCCACATTACATAGCAAGTCACTAGCAACTTTTTGTCACTAATGCTACTATTGATTCTGACGTCCCTTTTTCCTCTGAATAGGTATTGTATTAAAGATTATTTGGACCTCTAGAGACATAGCATCTTTCATTTTTGTGATACCTTCACAATTTTCCTGTATGCCATTTTTCACAATTCTGTTCTGTTATGGAAAAGGTTCGGTTTAACTTGGGTTTTGTTGTTTTATTATTTTAGTTTCTTTACAATGGCATTTTGCTTTGTTCTGTAAAAGAATTTGTCCATCAACTAAATTTCACATGCCTAGGTGACTGTCCTTAAGGAGTTTTCTTAGTGGCACAACAGCAACACATGTATAATTTAAACTGATGGCTTCATACTGTCTTTCATATATATCTGAATGACAGTAAAATACTTGACTGGATTTTTTTTCTTATTTTTGGTTTGGTGTGTGTTTGTTTATTTGTTTGTTTATTTGTTTTTAAAAGCTTATTAAATACTGTTCTTCAAGAGCCAGTGTAAAAAAAAAATTAAAACCAAACCAATTGGGCAGATATTCATAAGCTGGAGATATATAAATATATTGTCATTGCTGTTAGATACTGTTGAGTCAAGTACGACCCATAGCAAACCTATGAAGAACAGATATGAGCCCTGTCCTATCCCGTGCCATCCTCACACCTCCTGAAACACGAGAGCCCATTGAGGAAGTCACTGTGTCATCCACCTGGTTGAGGGTCTTCCACTGGAATGATATGCAATATCATACAGTATCATGATGTTGTTGTTGTTTGGTGCTGTCAACTCTAGTATGACTCATTATGACCCTGTGAACAAAAGACATGAACCCTGTTCTGTCCTGTGCCATCCTCACACTTCCTGACACACAAAGAGCCCATTACAGCAGTCACTGTGCTGGTCAAGGGTCTTCCTCTCCTTCTCTGATGCTCCACCTTTACGAAGATCATGTCCCTCTCCAAGGAATAGCCCCCACTAGTAGCATGCCCAAAGTATATGAGAGGAAGCCTCATCATCCTTGCCTCCAAAGAGCACTCCAGCTGCACCCTCTCCACGACATAGATGTTTGTTCTTTTGGCTGTCCATGGGATGTTTAGCACTCTTCTCCAACACCATAGCTTAAAAGCATCAATTCTACTTCTGACATCCTTATTCATTGTCCAGCTCTGTGCATCTGGGAGCTGCAGCTGGGCAATATGGATATAGTAACAGATATATTTTCCAGATGACTTGATAGCATTGTTGGCCTTGTTTTGAATACAAATTAATAGAAAAAATGAGGTTGCAGCAACCAGAGACAGCTGAGCAAGGAGACCAAGAGCTAGGAATTGAAAAGTCAGTTAGACTATGTTTGGTTATTTCCTCATCCACTAATCAGTCAGTGTTGTTATTGTGTGCCATCGAGTCAGACCTGATTCATAGCTGACCCTCCATTTTCCAAGGCTCTAAATTTCATGAGAGGAGCTTGCCCATCTTTCTTCTGAGGAGGAACTGGTGGATTCTAAAGGCTAGCCTTTGATATAGTAGTGCAGCTCTTTTGTCACCAGAGCGGTCTTGAAAAAGCTGTTCGACTTCTCCAAGATTCAGTTGGCACATCAAGTACATGTCTCTCTTCACTCAACTCATGGCCATCAGCTTGGGACATACTCACAGCTGATCCGCCAGTGGGTTTTCATTGGCTGTAAATCACATGGGAGGAGATTGCCCATCTTTCTTTCACTGAAAGCTGGTGGATTTGAACTATGCGCTTTGGGTTGGCAGAGCAACTCCTTACCAACTAGTCTCCAGAGCTCCCTACATGTATCTCTGATAATAGTAATTTATGACAATAACAACATTTAACCAGCTACTGTGAGTCAAGTCTGAATTATGGCAGCCTTATATATGTGC